TCCCAGGGAACAGCCATTCCCAGCCAGCAGCAAGGGGTGGAAGTGCTGCCCAGGGATTCCATCCCAGGAATTCCATTCCCAGGGATTCCATTCCCAGTCACCAGTGAGGGGTGGAAGTGCTGCCCAGAAATTCCATCCCAGGGAACAGCCATTCCCAGGGAATAGTGAGGGGTGGAAGTGCTGCCCAGGGATTCCATCCCAGGGATTCCATTCCCAGGGAACAGCGAGGGGTGGAAGTGCTGCCCAGGGATTCCATCCCAGGGATTCCATCCCAGGGAACAGCCATTCCCAGGGAACAGCCATTCCCAGCCAGCAGCGAGGGGTGGAAGTGCTTCCAGGGATTCCATCCCTCCCAGCACAGGGAATGAGCTCCCACAGCTGGTTCCTGGGAGTGGAACAGCCCCAAGCAGTGGCTGTGAGAGCACAGCAGGATTTCCAGACAGCAGGGGAACGACGGGATCCAATCCCTGGTGCCGGGGAGGTGAGGAGGGTTATCTGGGATCCCCCCCAGGGAAGAGCTGGCAACCAAGGAGAGAACTCCCCCCACACCCAGAGCTCGGGCAGAGGGACAATGGGGGCAAATTCAGGAGCATCCCCCGGCCCCACTGACCTGAGAGAGGGGAGGGAGAGTCCAGCTGCTGCACCAGCTGTGGCAGGGGCAGCTCCACCTTGTCCTCCTCGGGCCCCCACCGGCTCTTCCTCTTCTTCTTGGTGGTGCCCGGAGCGGCCGTGGGGGTGCCTGGGGTTGGGTTTGGGGCCGGGTTTGGGGCTGGGTTTGGGGCTGTCTGCTCAGGGGGGGTCGTGGAGGAGGAGGACGGCGAGGGGGAGGAGGAGGAGGGCACGGGGAGGGTTGGGGGCACTGCCAAGGGCACGGGCAGAGGGGAGGGGACGGGCAGGGGAAGGGGCAGAGGGGAGGGCACGGGCAGGGGAAGGGGCAGAGGCAGCGGGGAGGGAAGGGGCAGGGGCAGGGAGGGGAAGCACAGAGGGGAGGGCGAGGCCTCGGGGCTGGTTTTCCTCTTCAGGCTGGGCTCTCCAGGGAAAGGGGCACAGCCAGGGCTGGCCTTGGCCTTCCGGAACTCCTCCAGCTTCTGCCTGTAATACTTGTAGCCTTTGCTGTTTGGCTCATACAAAAACCTAAAAAAAAAACCACAAAACCCCAAAAGAAACAAGAGTTGAGCCGTGGCAGCCACACACGGGGCCGGGCTCCAGCACTTCCCACACAATTCCCGGCTCTCCAGCACCTCCCCGTGTGCACCCGCGGCCAGTGCAGGGCTTTTCCCACCTCCTGATCCCACATATCCTGCGGGTTGGTTCCCTATTTTTCGTGCCAAACAAACCCAGGGTTCTGCAAAGGTTTTGGGTCCCGTTTGTGGGAAGGCAAAGTCCTCCCTCAGAATCCACCTGCTTGGAAAAGCTGCCAGGTTTTCCAGAGTGTTGGGTTTCAGTTCACAAACATTTTACAGGTGGGAAAGTCCAATCCCTGCCTAAGGAAACTGCTCCCAAGCCCCCTGTTAAAAGCTGGAAGTGCTGCCATTACCAGCCTGCTTAATTACACCACAACTGCTCCCTCTGTTCCCTCATCCACAAAAAAGCACGGATTTATTTGCCAGCCCTGCCAGAAATAGGTCCATCTCCGAGCTTTTTTGGGGAAAACAGAACTCCTGGGGGTCTGTGGGAAGAGCAGGAAGAAGAATCCTCAATCCAGCATCCAGGGCGAGGGAAGAGAATCAACACGTTTGTTACAAACATGTTGGGGGTTTTTGGGCTCGCCCCAAATCCTCCACAGGGGAAACCTGACTGTTCCCAACTCCCCTAAAATCCTCCCTTTTGGTGGGATCAGTTTAACACTCGATGGGTTTAACAGTGGGATCCTCCTGTGCAAGGAAAACACGAGGGATGACAGACCCTTCCCACCTGTGGCCGTACAATGTGCACAGAGGCAACAAAAACCAGCTCTCTGAGGGGCTGCAAAATTCCCTAAATGTGGTTTCTCACCCCTCTGTTTGAACACCACCATCCAGGACTGCTCCAGAGGGCAGGATGGGGCCCTTCCCCGTGGAAAACCCATCAGAGGAGGGGGGTGTTTAACCTGACCCTGCTCAGCTGAGACCACAGAGGTTGTTTTGGAGTCAATACTGAGGCAGCACATTTGTCCAGGGCAATTCCCAGCACCAGGGGAGGATTCCAGAGGGCCAAGGAGGAAGCCAATAAAATGCCAAAACATCAGCAATCAGCATTCCCTGCCAGGGAATGCTCCAAAGTGTCTGGGAGAGCACAAAACCAGACGTGGATGGGACCAAGGGGAGGCATCAAGCAGCTGCCAGCGAGCGCCGGAGGGAACAACCCTCACCTGGAAGGCTGGAAAGGACATTCCAAAGGGGGGATTTAAAGGCTTTTCCCACTAAAGGGGGATGGAATTCTACCTGCACTTGGTGAGGGCGCTGGAAGGAGCAAGGCAGGAGGTGAATTAATGAATTAATTCATTAATTAAGGGTTGTGGATGGAGCCACAACTGTTCTGGGGAACAGTGTGAAGGTTCCAGCGGCTCTTCCCAAGGCTCCGGCCATGGAGATTTCCAGGATAAATCCAATGTTTATAAGGAGCCAGGGAATAATTTAATGATCCATGACAGCCTCCTGTGACATCTGCTGCAGACATCACCCAATCCTGCTGTTTTTCCCACCTGCAAAAATTCCCTTCCTTGCAAGGATTTACGTCCCAAGCGGGAAAAATCCAAGTTTCAGAGAAGGAAAGAGCAGCAGAAAGGGGGATTTTGGTCAAAAACCAACCAAATCATTTCCATTTGGAACAAATCAAATAACTGGGGGAAAAAAAAAAACCCTACCATTTTCCTAAATGTATTTTCAGGGCTGAAAAACACCCATGGGAGAATTATTTTAGTTCAGTTCAAGGGGTTTGGAGAAGTGCAAGGAAAAAAATCTCCTCCAAAAAGCCCTTTGGAGCGTGGAATATCTCACTGTGGGCTTGGGAAACAACCAGTTTTTGGGCCCCAAAAATGGATTCCCTCGTGGTGGTTCTGTCACCATCTCCTCCCACACTAAAATATGATTTCCAGGGGGCATAAAGCACCACTTCAAAAATTAAGGCATTGCTTTAAAAATTAAAGCACCGCTTCAAAAATTAAAGCACAAGCCGCGACCACCCCCTTGACCTCAGAGCCACTGTGACTCTGCCTGTTGTCCCCCCCTTTCCAAAACCCACAGAGGGGGATAAAAAAAGCAGGGTTTTGGTGTACCTGAAAGCAGGGTTCTCTCTGTTGTTCTGCAGGGCAATTGCCTCCGCCTCGGGCCCCCCGGCTGCCACAAACTTGGCCAGCTTTTCCGCCGAATTCCTCGTCTCTTCGTCGTCTGGGGGTGAAACTTTAAGCAGGCCGTGAGTACTGGGCCCAACTCAACAAGCAACAGTCAAAGCCTACCTGGTTCTAAGGACCCCAAGAGCAGAATAAGGGCAAAAGTGGCAGTTTAATATCGGGAGGAAACGGCAGCGCAAGAAACAAGTTTCACAGCAACAAACAGCACAAACAGGGGGCAGGGGGCACCCAGGCCACCTTCCAGGGTGGGCACTGGGTTCTCCCTGATGGGAGGCCAGTTTTCCCCTTGCCAGGCACTTTTCCATGGGGTTACACCCCTCAGGATTATCCCTAGTGTCCATTTTTCCCTGTGCCAGGCACTTTTCCATAGAGTTACACCCCTCAGGATTATCCCTGGTTTCCATTTTATCCCGTGCCAGGCACATTTCCATGGGGTTACACCCCTCAAAATCATCCCTGGTTTCCATTTTCCCTGTGCCAGGCGCTTCTCCATAGGGTTACACCCCTCAGATTTATCCCTAGTGTCCATTTTTCCCCGTGCCAGGCACTTTTCCATAGGGTTACACCCCTCAGGATTATCCCTGGTTTGCATTTTTCCCTTTGCCAGGCACTTTTCCATGGGGTTACAGCACCCAGAATTATCCCTGCTTAAACACCTTTCATTTCTTCTCTGTGCCAGGCACTTTTCATAGGGTTACACCCTCAGAACTATCCCTGGTTTCCACTTTTCCCCATGCCAGGCACTTTTCCACATGGTTACACCCCTCAACATTATCCCCAGATAAAAATTTTGCATTTTTCCCCATGCCAGGCACTTTTCCATGGGGTTACACCCCTCAGAATTATCCCTGGTTTCCATTTTTCCCCGTGCCAGGCACTTTTCCATACAGTTACACCCCTCAGCATTATCCCTAGATAAAAATTTCGCATTTTTCCCTATGCCAAACACTTTTCCATAGGTTTACAACACTCAGGATTATCCCTGGTTTGCGTTTTCCCTTTGCCAGGCACTTTTCCATAGGTTTACAACACTCAGGATTATCCCTGGTTTCCATTTTTCCCTGTGCCAGGCACTTTTCCATAGGATTAAAACGCTCAGGATTATCCCCAGTTAAAGATTTTGCATTTTTTCCCCGTGCCAGGCACTTTTCCATAAGATTACACCCCTCAGGATTATCCCTGGTTTCCATTTTATCCTGTGCCAGGCACTTTTCCATAAAGTTACACCCCTCAGGATGATCCCCAGTTCAGGATTTTTCCCACTGAAGTGCCCAGGAGCAGCAGGAAAACCTTTGGAAAAGTGGCCAGCCCCATATTCCCAACGATCCCACCTGTCCCTCCACACCTGGAGGCTACTTTAGGGGAAGGCAGAGGGAATTCCCCATGGAATCCTCCCCTGGAAGAGGCAGCTCTTCCCAAGGCACAGAGAAGGCTCCGGCCATGGAGATTTCCAGGATAAATCCAATGTTTATAAGGAGCCAGGGAATAATTTAATGATCCATGACAGCCTCCTGTGACATCTGCTGCAGACATCACCCAATCCTGCTGTTTTCCCACCTGGAAACATTCCCTTCCTTGCAAGGATTTACGTCCCAAGTGGGAAAAATCCAAGTTTCAGAGAAGGAAAGAGCAGCAGAAAGGGGGATTTTGGTCAAAAACCAACCAAATCATTTCCATTTGGAACAAATCAAATAACTGGGGGGAAAAAAAAACAACCCACCTTTTTCCTAAATGTATTTTCAGGGCTGAAAAACACCCATGGGAGAATTATTTTAGTTCAGTTCAAGGAGTTTGGAGAAGTGCAAGGAAAAAATCTCTTCCCAAAAGCCCTTTTGGAGCGTGGAATATCTCGCTGTGGGCTTGGGAAAAAAACATTTTTGGGCCCTAAAAATGGACTCCCCTCGTGGTGGTTCTGTCACCATCTCCTCCCACGTTAAAATAGGATTTCCAGGCAGCAAATTAACAGCCAAATATCCACCCCCAAGTGCTCCCAGGACGGACCTGACACGGTCACAAGGCAGCAAAATCCACCCAGTGCAGTTCATCTCCCCCTTCCCAGTGGGAATTACCTTTCTGGGAAGAGGATGCCTGAGAACTTTGAGTCTCTTTTCTTATCTCAGCCACTTTCTTCCTGTAGTAAAGGAATTCTCTGCTGTTCTTATCGTGCAAAAACCTGGAGATGGAGAAAAAAAACAGCTAAAAAAACCCCCCCTGGATCAGCAATTCCTGAATATTGATAAAGAAACAGCTCAAATCCCAAAGGAAAAACAGAGAAATCACTCAGAATGCCCTTAAAAGGTGGATTTAGCCTTTGTGGGCACACAGAGCTCTGATCCAAGGACTTGCATCCAGATTCACTTGAAGGGAAATAAGGAACAATCTGTGCTAACACGGGAGGGAACCCTCTGCCCACCACTCCCGGGATCCAATCCAGCATTCCCACGTGCTGGAAGTGGCACAGGAGCTCTGCTCCCTCCTCAGCACCACCACGGGGGCACCTTCTGGCTCAGCCAGAAAACAAGGACTCCTAACAAAGCTTAAATCCGCCAGGGAATCCTGGAATGGTTTGGGATGGAAGGGATCTGAAGGATCATCCATCCCTGGGAGGGGGACTCACCCCTGGTGTCACTTACCCTGTCAGAGGATTCAAAAAGATCCCAGAATCCCAGAATGGTTTTGGATGGAAGGGATCTGAAGGATCCCTGGAGGGGGGACTCACTCCTGGTGTCACTCACTCTGTCGGAGGTTTAAAAAAGATCCCAGAATGGTTTGGGATGGAAGGGATCTGAAGGATCATCCATCCCTGGAGGGG